GAGAGAGAGAGAGAGAGAGAGAGAGAGAGAGAGAGAGAGAGCGCAGAGGTGGGGATGACATAGTCGGTGCGATAGTCGGGCGCTCTCCCTCCGGAATGAAGTCGGATCATATTTTTAAGATGCAATTTCGAGGGAAATCTCTTACGCGGTAGCAGCTGCTCGCCGCCCACCGTTAGCCCGTTTCCTGCAGCCCTTCGCGACGTATATCCAGCAAAAGGTCGCCGTACGACAAAACGAAAAGAGAGCGGGAGCAAAGAGAGGAAAAGGGACGGCGGGGCGGCGGTGGATGAGCCGGGTTAAAGTGAACGACGGAACATAGGAGGGATATGAGGCCCCGGGCTGATCCCGGAAAAGCTAATGCACCGCGCGCCTGCGGGATTCCTGGCTAGCGTAGCCGATGGTAATATAATTATGGCGTATACATGTGCACCGCAATCTTCCGCCAGGTGTTATGGCCGTTGGATTAATGCATTAAGATCCGCGGGGGCCGAAAGGGGGACGCTGCTTTGAAAGCTCGAGAACGCAGCGGATCTTTCATTTAAGGTTGTAAACAAAATTATAAACTTATGAGTTTTAAGAAATGTTCGTTAAACAGTCTGTCGAATGCTTTAAGATGAGTAAGGAAAGAAAATTGTGAGAAATTGTGACAGTTCAAAGTACAGCGTAATATATTTCTGGAAATACTGGCTGTATATATAGGTTTAATTATTAGTAATAAAGCTTATAAAATTATTTCGATTTTAATTGAAAGAGATGCCTATCAAGCTGTCTTTTCATATACGACGAAATTGTGTGAGTCTGATAAAAATAACATCTTATCATTTACAATCGTGTTTGTCTTGATTTGAATTAACTGAACTGCGCCAGTAAATTGAATCTGATTAAACTTCTATTTTTGTCGTCTCAATATGCAACAAAATAATAAGTCTCATAAAGTTTGTGTTCAAACATAGAAAGATTATTCTTATCGAGAAACAGTTAGAGAAGAAGTTATCGAAGGCCCCAATGGAAATTAACGTGCAGCTATTTGTAATCGCGCGACTTCGTAAACAGAACTGAACTTTATTAACCTTTCGTCTGCAATCCTTTTTTTGTACAAGCGAAATTTCACTCTCAAATTTCTTTGAAATAAAGGAAAGCGCAGTCTGATTCTTCTTCCTCTCCCTCTCTAAAATATCTTGTAACATCTATCCATAAAAAACTTTTTTAAAGAAAGAAAAAATAATAGTTAAAAAAAATTTTATTTTAAGTTAAGTAAATTGAATTTTTTCACACTTTTTGAAAGTTTAGTAAAAAAAACTTGGGCTGGACAAAAAAGGCTCAGATTGCAAAACAGAGGGAGTGAAAATATGATTACAGACGAAGAATTAAGATGTAATTGTGTAACCGTGTTACATGCGTATTTTGCAAACGTCTCAATGTCCTCACGTGTCGTTAGGAGATTTTGCGGGGATTATCTAAGGACGGCGAAAAATTAATGCACGACTTCGTGATCGCGTGTCACGTGTTCCGTGTGATTCCGAGGCCGTAGCCAGTGATCGAGGCGATTAGAATTCAGGAAGTGTGCATCCATGGCAGCCACCGATACACACAGGCCAAAGTTTGTCGCTGATAGTCCCGAGTACGCCTTGGGAGCGTTCCTTTAACTTCCGTCTCCGCTGCAATTGCCGCGCCGGTAGGTGTATACACAATGCGCAACGGAGGCGGCGGCTGCGTTTCGAAATTCAGGTAGCGCTGCCTAGAATAAGCAGGCAGACGGTCTCCTGAGACAACTATCTCTCGTATGAGTTGGGATCGACTCACGTTGGTTACGCTTTGATACCCGTTTTACGCTCGTTGCGTACCTTTTATTCTACAAGATGCGATAACGTCACGAACTCGGTCACGAATGTGTACGAGATAAATCATGTATGGCATTCAATCTGGCTCGATGCTTCAAGCTTCTCGACGCACGTTAGAGGTGACATCATTTAAAACTGTATAACTCCGAGATCGTAAAAAAGTTTGAAACCATCTACCGGATACTTAAAGTAAATTATTGATGATGCAGCGAGAATATAAAATTAAAATGCTGTCTGTCGTTAATAAAATTATTGCTTTTATTTGTCGCGCAAGTATATGAGGATAAAATTCACGATAGAAAGTTTTGTTATGAAAATAGGCCTGCATCGACATGACATCGTGTCGAAGGCTTCTCTTCACGCGTCAATATCGTTACGTGGTAGCTCATATATTATGCAAATAAAGGATTTAAAGTTCTACTCAGTGTTCGATGTATGAAGTGGAATGACAGCGTCACAAATATCGACGAAACCTACTATGAAAGTCTTCCTATATGCGGGTACCGCATAAAATTTACATGACGTCGTATTTTCGGTACCAGCGCGATATCATAAAAAGAAAGTTATACGAGAATATATTTAAGAATTCTTACGTCGTGTATCCAGACGAGCTTGGACCAAGGTGGGTTGGCTCTAATATGGCACTCAAAGTACACGTCATCCCCTTCTTTAATGTCCTCTGGGCTTAAGGTCGATCCGAGGTTTAACGATACTATCGGCGGATCTGCAAAAGTAAAATATTAAAACTTTTCTATATTTTATACACCTATAAGAAAACTGTACATATTTTGTTATCAGCCTCTCTTTCTCTGGCTGTTTATTAATATACAATTTTTATACTAACTCTTAAACATCTTTTCGATATGGCATATCTGATTTTCCAATATTTTTTCATTGCTTATAACTTTTTCACAATATGTTCATTTTTATGAAAGTTATAAGCAATCGATTTGATTCGGTATACCATACACCAGTGTGTTTCCATTGTGTGAAGCGTTTAAAGATTAAAAATGGCATTACTATTAGCATAAAAGAAAAGAGATAGAGGGACCCTAATGTTACGACATGCTTCACTCATTCAGATATTTTATCGTAAAATATATTTTATATGTATATATATATATATATAATATTGTAAATACAAGTGATAAAAGTTTCGTAAATCGCTGTTTTCATTACCGAGACCGCGCACACATATCTCAATTTTTGTCGGCGAAGCTACGTCCGCGAGGCATATAATCTTCAAACTCTCTCTCCATTAGCTCTGATATTTTTCCTGCTTGTGAGACTCTCAATAATATCTCGCCCACGGTAGCTCGTAGATGTTCTCTAGCGGCTCACAGTTACGGATAGCTGCCAGCAATCAAGCCTTTTATTTGTTCGTGATATCTGACATTTACTGTGCACATTAGTTTAACCATCCCGAGCTCCACCGATTCATTTTCATAGTTCACTTTCGCGGTGTATTTTCCCGCGGAACCTTATCCGTCCATCGTAATAAGGGTCGCCGTCTTGTAATTGTAAGTCAACCCAATTTCTTTCCAGGATCGTGTATTTTCGAGAGATAACATTAATTAGCTTGATCGCGTCTTCCAAATTTAACCACGTTGCTAATTTATATTGTCTCGTTTTTTTTTTTTTCATAAATTACGGAAAGGTTCGTTAATATTAGAGAGAGATTGGAAGGAATTACCGGAAACTCAATCTTCTCTAACCGTTGTCTGTCGGAGACGACGACGGTGACGGCGAAGCCGAAGGGTCGGCCGCGTCAGAGGCTGGACCGTCTTTCCGAGATAGAGGTGTAATTCCGAGTCCGGACTCCGTAGGAACGGTCCACCGTAATCGAATACGTGACATGACACCGTTTCCCGTATTCTGCAGTTTTTCCTGTTACGCGAATACTCGTCCGTGCTCCTTATGTATTTCCCGGTCGCTATATTTTTGCTCGACGTATACAGGTGCAACGGACGCAACCGGACAGATGAGAACAAACGATAAACCGTATGGAATCGAGAAATTTATCTCCGCCGAAGTAACGCGCGCGCACGACTCCGCAAAATTGAAAAAAACTATCTGGAGGCGGCACGCGAATCTTTCGTCCGTGTCGCACTTTTTCTCCGTTATTTATATGTATTACGCAATTAAAATGAACATACGGTGATATACGGCATCCCATAGCATCGTAAGAGTAGTCTCTATTCTATCAAGGATTACCTTTGCGTCGATGTTCGTGGATATAAATTTATATCACGATACCGTTCCTTTAAAGAGTATTCGATTTATTGCATCAATACTGCTAATCCAATTTTCAAAAGTGTAAGAAGCTAAAAAAACAAATTTATATTAATAATTAAGTTCAGATAATAATTAGGTTATCTTTCTTAAAATAATTTAGAGATTTAATTTAAACAACATCCGTTTAAAATTTATTCTTGGAGTTAATAATATGTTACTGTTTTATTTTGTTTTGTTTTATTCTATTTATTTACTTTATTTTAGACGTTTTAATTGTATTTGATTTTTATTCTTGTTACTAATATTACTATTTTATTTCCGTTTACTCAAGATAATCAAATATCGGTTTTTTAAATGTTTCAAAAAACCAGATCACTATTACATTTAACTTCCCATCGGCAAAAGTAGACTTTATTAGCACAGTTAATTTTTTAATTGTGAATTCTGGTAAATAAATTTAAATCTGTAAAAAATAAATAAAATATTATTCAATTTGTAAATAGTCGTTGTTAAAACTTTCACAAATATATAAACATTTTTTCAGATTTTTATACAGTTTGAAACAACACAAAATCTTTGCGGAAAGGTGAAAATTTCACATTGTCGACACGGAGGGTTGATTGTTTATGTTTTATTTGACTATTTTAATAATAAATCGGTTGTCATAGTTTCATTAAGATGTTATTACTTAACTGTCGGTGATATTAGGTGCTAGGAAAAATTTCGCTGGCTAGATTAAAGACGCCGACAAGGATGACGTTTGCGCAGGAAAACTTTCGAGATTAGGAGTCGCCGACGCCTTAAACCGTTTTATCGTGAGCATCAGTGGGGCGGTTTGTCCGCGACTTAAAGGACCCTGAGTCTCTGTGTAAAGTCCGCTTTTACGCTCACACAACAGCGTGGCAATAAAAGCGTTATTATTATTTCTTCTGACGCAGCTTTTACGACTGGTACGAAATTTATAATCGTTGTCCACGCGTTATATCGCGCAGCGCAAGTGAGAAATTTTACAGGGTGTCGTATAATAATCTCGCGAGGAAATAGTGCCGCGTGAGGTAGAAATTTGCTAGCTATGCAATCATTTTTCGTCGCGGTCGAATATAAAATACGTGGACGTTCCTTGAAGATTTCCAGAGTAATAACACCGAGACCGCGACTCATTTAAACAATGGACTCATTTGAACGCTGGATGGAATGAAATGAGCCTTGCTTCTGCGGCTTCTCCTGGCTATATGTTGTCATCCGTCGTTTTAATATGCACTGAGAAACGTGTCGTAATTCTCGTCAAGTCGAACGTAAAGTTTACGAGGTCGGATGAGCGCAATTGCGTGGTAAATTTCATGAGCGTCTAGCAGACTGGACACAACATATATGGCATTTCTACATCGCGCTTACAACTATATATAATAAACAAGACAGAAAGAGAGATAGAGAGAGAGAGAATGATGCAAAAACGAGATAAAACTGCTCGATACTGAAAAAAATAGCACTTTTAAACATAATTATCAAACTCAAGAAACGTTTAGTACCTTTAAGATCTAAAGAAAATATCAGATCTAAGGAAAATATCGAGATCCCACAATATCTAGCGTTGCTTATTGTGTGTATAAAAGAAAACAGAAATTGCATTAGATAATGAAAGGAAGAGTCTATAATGGAAGCGAAAGAGCCACTTGGCTGTCGGTGAACGAAAGTAATAGAGACATAAAACGTAGCTAGAAATTATGACTAAGTTTATAGTGATTAAATTGATAATTAGAATTGAGAGGCGTCGTCGAATTTCTTACAGCGATTTGTAAGAAATCTCACAGATATCTTTTATTGGCGGTTGTAAAAAAGAAGGAGCAGCGTGAGACGTGAAAAGGAAATGATGCATGAACTCGGGGGATGAGAAAGGTGTGTTTTGGTGTGCAGAGTGAAGAAACTCATAAAATCAGCCGATTCGGGACTCGAATGAAGATGAGATTGAGGATGTCGAGTGACTGTTGCAATTTCTTCATTTTCTTTTTTACGATATATGCGTACGATATATGACAATGAAACGAGTCAAAAGAGAATGAGAAAGGGGAGGAAAGAGAAAGAGAGAGATCGACAAAAGCTGTAAAGTACCATTCGTCATGGTGTCGTATTCGATTTACCGCGATCAGTTTCGCGATCTGTCGGTCGTGAGCGAGTTTACGGTTCCGCGAGAAATTGGAACGTTAAGGAAAAATGTAATGTGTACTCACATACGACGTCGATCTTCCAGGACTTCTCGACGAAGAGTCCGGTCACGTTTGGATTCTCTGCTCGGCAGGTGATAGATTTCCCATGATCCTCCACACCCGGCTCGAACTCCACCGTGCTGACGGTTCGATTCTCGGATCTTTCCTCCTGTGAACCGTCGAGGAAATTCAGTGAAATTATCTTTTTATCTATCATGCCGATTTGTTCGTGTAGTAAATCGCGCAGAGACTGTAGCACCTTATGAGGTATGTCAATAAATTGTTTAAATATTATGCACTTGTAAATAAATTTATTTAAAATAATACTAAAATTGAAACATTATATATTAAATAATGAAACCTCATCGTTTTCAATAATTTAATAATTTAATTTAATCAATTATTTAATCAATTAGATATTTAATAATTAAACTTATTATATTTAATTAATTAGATATTTAATAATTACATTCAATTATTAAATAATAAAAGAGATAATGAATTTAAGATCTCGAAAGATATTCGTAATTGGCTTTTTGTTATGACGCATCATCTATCATTCTCTTAATATGTTTACAAAACTTTTGGTTTGTCCATGTAAGTCAATACAAACAGCGAATTGGAATGATTGAGGTCGGGGCACATATATGAGAAAGCTCATCGAGTAAGACGACGTGGAAGTGAATTAGCACGCGCGACTGTAGTATAGAATGTGTGCGTTTTCGCTCAGACGAAAGTCCTAGTTGCCAACTGCTATATTCTGTTAAGGAACTAGGTATGCTGAATCGAGCTTCGATCTCTTGAAAACGCGCGTTTCGTAACTCGCAATATCTCACGATGAAAAGTCATTCAAATTTTACACGATGACGTGACATGGAAGTGAATGCGCCAACACAGATTAACGACATAAATAGATTTATATATCGGTAAAATTAGCTCTTTGGGAAACAGAAAATAATTCTATATTTTAATATGTTTTTTATAAATAAAATATGATTTTTTATGTATAAAATAGAATATGATTTTTATATGTATAAAATAGAATATATATATATATATATATATAATTCATATTAGCATAATTTAACTCTTAATATATACTATTTTTGATGTTTGTATAATTTCACACAATATCTATATATTATAAATAAAATATAAATATATCGATCAACAATTGATGTATAAAATACAATAACATATGTAAATCTTTGAGAAAAAATTGAATATTGAATTAGTGCTATATAAGAAGCAACAATTTAAAAAGCAATTAGCTCAGTAATTTTGTTCTAAAGTTTTTTTTAATAAAATCTTATAAATTATTTACTAATATTATTGCAAGGAACTTATTATTATAATAATTACTCGATAAATACTTCTATGTTAACATTTGATTTTCTGTTCAGAATCTGAGTATGTATATTTGCATTCAATTCGTTGCCTCGCTCTTATCAAACTTGTCTCCAGAATCTCTATCATTTGTGTTAACCTACTAGAGTTTATAACGGTTAGATTTCACAAAACCCAACACAGGAGGAAATCGCCATCCTGCCTCCCAATTGTCAGTCGCTTCGCACTTTAATCATTATGCTAATCATTTAACTACTATGTAGGTCAAATTTAACTCTCTGAAAACGTAATATTGCTGGGAATATCGATAAATACTGATTACTGCTTTATCTTCTCTCTGTCTTATATCTTTATGTCTTATAGTTGCATATCTTTACGATGCAACGTCATACGAATTAGAATTATTAATAATAATGACAGTATTATATATTCCGTATAACTGGTGCATATCCCTATTTTTAATTTTCAATCGTTTTATTTCAATAATATTTGGAAGCGTAATTACATTTTGATGAGCTTCCTTTCGTTTTGAATGATAGATTGAATATGTAAAAAAGTAGGAAAATTTTAAATTTATTTTAGAAATTTCTGACTAGTAAATAAAATAAAAAATTAAATATAAAAAATAAAAAGGAATACATCTAATGGACTATGTAATTTCAAAATCATATTAATTAGATTTTTGAGATTAGATTTTTTTAAATATGTGACTTTAAGAATGTAAGAATATATTTCGAGGAACATCCGAAAACATGGATGTACCAAGTGCTAACATTGACAGACACTGAAGCCGACAGAACGCACGTGCCAGAGGAAACATAAATAAGAGAGAGAAGCAAGAAAAGAGAAAACTAGGGTTCTCCTCGGATTATTTTTATTCTTTAACATAGGAGCTGTTATTATATGTTGAAGTATACCGACGTACATTACTGGTATTTGTGGATCCTATCACATGCTTCGACCAAACAAGTAACGATAGATGAAGGAAATTTGAGTGGCAAATTCACATGTGTATTGAAAATTTAACATAGGACATCAAAAGAGAAGCGCATATAGAACCATATTTTAAAACGTAGAATAATGTATAGTGGACGGAATGTAAGCTGCACTTAAAGAAAGCCTGTTCTTTCGCGACATTACTGGTATTACTATACGTATAAATATATGTAATGTAATAATATGAGTTACAACTGAAAGCATAAAACACAATGGAAATTAAATATTACTTTCTTTTTCGAAAATATATATTATAAATTTCAGTAAAAAATTGAATGTGTACTCCATTAAAATGGATGCCAGCAAAAAGATTAAGGGATGCAATGCGTGCAACTTCAGCAGCGCTTTTCGTTTCGCATTTGCCAGTGAAATAGAGAGATAGAGATGGATAAAAAGAAAGAGATAAACAAGTATAATTAAAAAAAATAATCTCGCGGAGAGAGAGAACGTTCTCGCATGGTATAATTTTGTGGCGCAAGATGGCGAGGGAAAGCGGAACGAGGGAAAAAGGACGAGAAAAATCTGATTCGACGCGCCGCTCGCCATGGTTAATTTCGGTTATATTAGGTTCCGCAGGGGTGGGCCGTAAGCAACCATGGTAACATCTGTCGGGAATTCGTCCTCGGACGCTCGAAAAAGCTCCAAGTCCTGCCGACGTAGCGAGAATCTTTCTTAAGCAGCGCGGATTCCGATCAAGGATTTCGCTTATTTTTCATTTACAGAGGAAAAGCGAGAGCTGTGTGTATAGAAGAAGATAATCGAAATCGGGACGAAGGTACAACATTTGTGATAGAATAATAGATGAGCGTAATTACCTGTCTTCAAATAATTTTTAATATTATATCAAAATAAAGTATTAGAAGTTTAATTATTGTTATATATTATATAACATATGTCTCTCTTTATAAAAAAAAAATAAATAAAATAAATAAAATAGTATATTGTGATCATTTTAACGATGTTGTTATGACCATATAACAATTTTTATCGAAACAATAAATTACTCAATACAATGTATGTGGATATATACTCAATTTAATCTGATACAATCAATTTCACCAGATTATTCGATCTGATATAATTAATTGTGCTAAAGCGATACTATTTTCCGAACACATTGTTCTACCTCATCGACAATGCTTAGTAACAACTAATTTCAATTACTATACATTTATTCATTATTTTATTAACTTATTATTAATTTATTAGATATATATACATATATATAAAATTTATAATATACATATACCATATATGATTTATTATACAGCTGTCATTTTACAGAAAATAAAAAAAACATAAATGATAGTCAATTTTGAGATATATTTCTTATATTACTGTTATCATCGTATCTAATTTGAAACGTATACGATGCACGCAGCAATCGTTCGTACCGCTAATCAACGAGTATAACGGAGTTTTCGCCCGCTCTGGGAATACACTTTGGAGCTCCCGATACATAGAGACGCCAAAACGTCGTTAAGCATTGCGGCCGGGGTTCGTTAATGAACTACGTGAAATTAATTAGAGCCGCACGTCAACAGCGCCCGAGACAACGCCGACTCTAAAGTGCGACGCGTTGGCGTGTATGCGAGCCAACGCGCGGAAGTTATAGCTCCGATTCCAGATTATCGATAATGCCAGGTCCCCCAGGGCCGTGCGTATCTAACTATCACGATTTGAGCCATCCTGGCATTGGCTAGTGAAGTTCTGTAGAATGTCCGACGTGACCAAAGTACTCCCATTCGTGTCTAAACGCGAGTACGACGAACTTCGGGACGTATTCCGAGGAAACCGAGATCAAGAAGATCAAACGATTATTATTCACGTATCCATAAAATATTCTTGAACCAAACAAGAGAGCGACAAAATGCAGTAATAAATATTAAATATAAAAAATAGAAAGTATATAAAATGAACCATGAATATACTTGTTGATTTGTTAAATGTTAATTCGATCGTCGCTTTATAATAATTTAATTTCACAATCGATTTTTATTGGATATTTCTGATATCACAATTGTGATATCTAAATATTCTAAATTGAATTTTTGATTCTAATTACATAATCAAGAGATTTTACATAAAATATAATATCCTATTTTTTTTTAATATTAAAACATCTTCATGTCTAGCATAAAGATATTCTTATTACAACTTGATGTAAGCGAGATTAAATAAGTTGAGTTGAATAAACTGACCTCTATCATCATATAACGTTTCATATTCTAAAAGATACATCAATAGAATCGACACCGTATATATATATATAATATCATAACTTTATGGGCATGAAAATTCAACCGATGATCGAGGCAATGTGTGATCTAATATTAAATAACTTCCTCAACAATTTTATTCGAATTATCAAATCGATACACGAAATTAATAATTATAATTTAATATATCGATATATATGATATACATATGTATATATTTTTGAATTAAGCTAAAAGAGCAATTTATGGAGGCAACTTAATTTTCATAATTATACGTGACACATCTATCCCATCGATTTGGCGTTTCATTCATTACGCCCGCGCCGTGATTAATAAATGGCGATTCCCTGCGGGTCGGGTTTCTTGCCCCTGCTCCGTTCGGATGTAGTTTAGCAGACACTCCAGGAAGCCAGGCAGTAATGTGCTCTTGACGATACATACATTATCGGATAATGTCGAATATTCCCACCGGCCCGGACGCGGATTTTCGCACTGTGCGTCCGCTCTCGTAACAACCGCGTCTAGCGGAAAGGGCTTTTAGTATCGTAACATTTTGACAAGTATTATGCAACTCGCAGTTACAGCGCCGGAGGGAGTTTCTGATGCCACTCCCCCTGAAAGATCAATATTTCCTTCTCGAAGGAAAGAAAAAAACGGAACATCAATTTCGATCTCTCTGACAGTAATGTTTTGTTAGATGTACGAATCATCATATTATACCTCGTTCTTTCGTTTTTATAATAATTTGAAACTAATTTAATTAGCACGACTTTTTATCACCGGGATTAATAATTTCGTTTGTATCCTGAGCATTGATGTCAATTTTTTGTTAGATATTTTCTTATATGTATAATATAATTCTTAGTTTCGTTATAGTTTATATCTGTAATTATCGCTATGATTTGCGTATTTATTTTTATTACTATAATTAAATTTATACTTCACTGTTTTTTAATACATAAATACTTGTGTATATTTTTACATCCTTTCCAAAGCATTAATCCTGTTTTCTCTCTTAAAATGTAATAAATGTAGGTAAATAAATTACAAGTAAAAAGCCCTTTTAACGCACGCTATGAGAAACCATAATGCTCCACATTTATTTTGATATTTATAGCAACATTGTCATGCAACGTGCACGATAGATTAATGTTTCTCGTGGCGCCCAGGGTGTTCGCGTGTCCTTCGCAACTTGATTTTCACCGCCATTCGTTTAGCTAAACGTGGCAAGAGTAGACATCGCCCTTCGGTAGTCTTAGTGCGGCGTTCGTAGAAGAGAGACGTATAGTAAATGTAAAGTGGATGTTCGGACCGGGATCGGCTGAATCGGTATAGCTTAATTGGCAATTAGCATACCGCCAATGAAAATATCTGGAGTCGACAGGTGTGGCTGCTTAATTCAATCGGCGCGTCTCGAAAGCTCCGATCTTCGCCACTACAACCATACCACCTCCACCATTACCACCACCACCACCACCACCAACACCTTCACTAATGCCGATGCTACCATCGCATTCAACCTCCCTTTCGATTCGCTTTCAACCCACTATCACAATCGGATGTGACTTCGGGTTCGGACGAATCCAATCCGTTTGGGAAGGGTACTAGTTCTTTATTTGTTCCATTCTCTTCTCTTTTTTTTCCAATGCTTTTCTCCATTTCTGTCCCTTTCTTTTGCTTTCTCGTCTTCCTTCATTGTCCTGGCTCTCGCGATTCTTATGACTCCTCTCGCGAGAATCTCTCCCAAGAGAAAGATTCGCTATCGAGGGGTGTAGTTATCGGTTCCCCAGAGCGTATCGACCTTTTAATCTTGCGTCCCTTCTCGCATTCGCGCCGTCAGCTCAACGTCTCATTCTTAACAAACTCGAGAGCGGCACGTAACTCTCGAAAGTGTTGGTAGAAAATTGACTCGATCGCGCGATCTCATTGCGCGCGACGTATTGGAATATATTCTTGATGTATTATTTGAAGAATCGCGTCACTGTGTCGGATATTTTTTTTAGTATCAATAGTGTCATCCGATACAAATGCAAAACTAATTGGCGCGAACAAGTGGCAATTTCGAGGAAAGGTTAACAAGATTGCCTCAACTATTCTGCATATTGGAGAATTCTTATTTAGACATACACAATAAATTTATTGATAAGATATTCCTTACAAGTATCGTTTCACAAGCATATGGATAGAGTTAGCGATATACGAGCTATTGCTACGAATAACTGTAATAATAATAATTTCTTGGTTTTCAATAAAGAATGTTTGCATTAGCTATTTGCATTGATACTTCAAATTGGAATTTTATTTTGTAAAATGCAAAAATAATGCGAAAATAATTATTTATTAATCATTTAGCTCGTAATTTATGATGATTCAATTGAAAGGCTTTTTAACGCGTACAGAATTCTCTACAGTTGTATCCGTAATACGTATTTACGAGCAAATACAATCGGACAAAATCTCTAAGCTTGATAAATGAAAGTTTGAAACAACGGAAATTGAACCAGACAACGCGTTATCGCGTTATCTTTGCACCCGATCTTTTTTAAACTCCTAAAGTCAGCGACGGCGATTAATTATACCGAGGACCCGACTGGAGGATAATAAGCAGCTTACCCGTTAATTACATGCCTCCGCGCGCCATGGGAATTACGTGCGAATCGAATCGCGTTAAAACAACGTATTAGCAAATAAGTCCTGATTAATCAAAGAGAATGGCAGTCGGGCGAAAGTTCGCGCCTTTAGGATTAGGCGCGCGCACGCGCGAGTCTGGCCCTACCCTTCAGTGTCTCACGAAAGTGCCGGAACAAAAATGGAAGTGACGAGCCGCGAAAGAAAGCGGGAAAAAGAGCGGCTTTTGTGCCGGGGGGACAAAAGATACGGGATATACCCGTGGTATAAGCCACGGCAGGGGGATAAGAAGCAGCTACTTCTAGGTCGAGAATCCGCGTAACCCGCCGTTATACTTCTTATTTTTCTTCCTTACCGTCGTGTGCTTCAGCTGTCTTCTCCGACCCTTGTACCAGGTTATCACCGCGGGTGGCCTTGAACCAGTGGTCTCGCACTCCATGTCGTACCGCTTCCCTGCTAGAAGAGACTCATTGCCAATCCCTTTCCTTCCCGGTCTTCTTATGATCACCGACAGAGGTTTCACTAAACAAAAATGACGAACTTTAAAGATGCTATCTGTTGCTATGTTCATGCTACGTCACGTTCTCATATTGCAATTTTCCAGTATATTCTGCTGCTATGGTAAAATCTGATCAAATATTTTAATATAACAAAATTAATACATATAATATTATAATTAATATAATATAATATGCGCGAAAAATGAAGCACAGCGCCGCGCGCCGGTATAAGTATTCTCAAATTATCAATATTTAATCAAGAACCAATTTAATCAATTATTTGAAAAATTTGAAATATGAATTAATTATTCCATGTGTGTGTGTGATATTAACACGAATATATTAAACATAATTTTTTAATTTCTTTGGGTAATTTATTTTAGGAATTTATTTCTTAATAAAAGTGGTCTTCTTGTTAAATTCTCTAATAATAAATATTTTGCAAATCTTTTTTTGGTTTAAATAAATTTGGAACACTAATATGTTAGAATTATATATGTAAAAGAAATGCTCTGATCAGATTTAAAGCTTTCTAATAACAATAATAATATATCATAATAATGTAACAAAAAACTTGACAGTTTTTATTTTTAATAAAAACTTTGTGCCCCGCCTTAAGGAATTAAAAATGACCGATAAAAATATGAAAGTTCTAGCCAGTCCCGTGTCAAATCGCTGAAAATAGATCTCGCGTTATAAAATGATAAATGGCTGACCTGCAGCCACTCTTCACTTCTGGATGAAGCTTCGGTATTTCGCGTCATATTGATCGCAACGTGGAAACAATTACGTAAGTTAAATAAATATTTTCCACGTTGTTCGAGTGGACGTATTTAATGAACATTTATTTGGCAAATATTTTTTCGTAAAAGATTAATATTTAGTCATATACTCGTAAATACGTCACGCGGTATCGTCTCCTTTGGTGATCGAATGTATAAGCATCGCTAATCATTATTTCTGTTCTACATATTATTAATCATTTGCTCTTTTCGTCAAGTCCCACGTGTGGCCGTGTGTACGTTGAAAAACTACATCGTCCTAAATTTTACTCCCGAAGTGACGATCGTTCTGACGGCCAATAAATCCAGGTTTCCAATTCGTTGGTGTCGACTAGATACGATTCGTTCGTTCGTGAAATATGAAAACTGTGAATAGAAATTTCCATACGCTGTTTGCGATACACTTACTCCGATAATAGTGGCACATATTCATTAATCATTATCTTTATGTTACCATTCTTATTACTAATAAATTGTTTACACATTGACGCTACGTTTACATGAACGCTGAATATTTATTGCTCCATTTACGTAATTGAGTAATTTATTTTAATGAAACGGAGTGCTATTTTTCGTATAGAAATAAATATTCCATATAAAAATCAGAGCATTCTATTAGAGGTATCCAATTATATATATATATATATGTGTGTGTGTGTGTGTGTGTGTGTGTGTGTGTGTGTGTGTGTGTGTGAACGTGTAAAACTTGCATTCAAAGGTTCGTGTAAAAATACGAATTTATAAATTCATAAAGTAACGGTATTATAAAAGGACGATATAAAATATAATACGAAATATTACGTGGTATAACATAAACAAACACGGTATTATTGAAGCAATAATCTTACCCTGACAATATCGGCTAAGTTAAATGAATTTTAAAGTTAACAATTTTAAACACTAATGTGTCCGTCGATGTAGCAATCTCGCGATTGATGCACGCTGCCCCAAAGCGCTGAATGCAAGAGGATCCTCTATTTGTTCGTTTTTAGTTTTTATTGCACGAAAAATAAAACTAAAACGATAAAATAAATACGCAATGGGCACGTGGGCATTTTGCCGAGGTAACGAAAATCAAAGAGCGTTCATCATTTAGGCTAGACTCTGACTCGTTCCTCTTCCTTCATCAAAATTTCCTCTCTGATCGTTTCAATCCGCTATTTTTTTATTCACCGCTATGATGGAGTCGCTCTTCGCTCGATAACCGAACTGCAATTTCGTTAGTAGTTTCGACGAAGTGATTTTTGAAGGACCTAATTATTGGACATGTATCGATCACCGTCTCTTACGGACCTCGATATTCGTCTGTGAAAAAGTGAATTTCTTGCTTCTATAATACACATACAAAAAGGAGCAAGACGGATAAAATCTTTACGAGAACGTCGGTGATGGATAACGGTCTAATCGAATCAACGACCGACAATCGAATCATCGACCGATTGCGATTGAGGAAAAGGGTCGCGTGGAAAATGGTATAGCAAGCCGGTTCAAGCAATACAGAAATCCCATCGTGTCGCACGACTCGGTTGGATAAGGCACGACGCGAGATAAGATTCCACTCGCCAATTTTTCGGTTTAATACGAAAATTAGGAACGTCACCTTATCCCTATTCTACACCTCGCCCCTTAACCCGCCCTGGGCGGATTAACGAAGAATTCTAATTTCGGAGATGCCTAGAGGATAGTTTCGCTTTTCATGTTTCTTCTCGCTCCTTCTCAGAAGGGACGAACGACCTAGGCGGGACTGGGTGGATTTAATATATTTCTCGTCTTATCTTGCCTTATCTACCCTTAAAGGTGACTCACCCAGCGGCGAGAGAGCAAAGGATGTTGGCCCACTTTTGGTGTCTCGTAGATTTTATCTTTAATGCGAGACAAGATAGGCTCAGGGGCGAGGTTTCTGATTTGTTAGCTGCGTGATAAGAATTTATATTTCTCATCTTTGCTTTCATTAATCTCTTCCGTCCTTTTAATAAAAGTATTTAGCTATCATAGACGCGAGAGAAGCGTTAATTTCTATTATAAATATTTCTGTTCTCGTGAATGAGGGAAAGAGAGAAAGAATCCTACTTTATTTAAATCATGCGATGGCAGATATTCAGATTCACTTACAGTTGAGATCTAGAGAAATCGATGTCTCTTTTGAATCCACCAAGTCCGTGTTGCGCGCTTCGCAGGTAAAATTTGAGCCAAGGTCAGAGCGACTGATGGGCTGCAGCGTTAATCTGTCAATGTATCAAAAGAAATTAAATACTTAGATGTGTAAAATTAATAAGAGAACAAACGAGGACTAGATTTCTCTTATAATTTCCTCTGATATTTGCGGAAAAATATTAGAAAGTCGAAGAAATTGACGTACCTATTTTCGATTACATCTCCAGCATTATTTTCGTATTCCTCATCTTTCACCCGACCGTTTATGAGCCATCTAACCATTGGTTGTGGCTTACCTGCAACAAATAAGACATTAAGTTAATACATGTTTTCTTTGAATAGTATACTAACTGTATAAGTAAATATTTACTAAATAAATATTTACTCGATAAAAAATGATAAAAATCAAATAAATAGTTTATACATCAAATAAACATAAGTTATATTTAGTAAATATTTACTTAGAACTATTCAAGCAAATATTTATTAGTTTTAGTGTTTAGTGTAATGCGTTATCTGACAAGATATTCGATCTAGTTCGTCGCGCAAACAATTTTGCTAGGCTAGCCAGCACATCCTCTGCAGTTATTCTCCAGAATTAATTACCTTCTGTAAAAGTTCTCTGCATGTAATAGCTATTCCTCGTAATTATCATTCAGAGCCGAAAAACGAGCGAGGAATGACGCAGCGGTGTGCGCTCGCGGTAAGCGTTCGTCAGAGAGCAGTGAAGATCGTCTACATGATGCAACGAGTTTTACCGGGGCTACTAAGCGGTAGACGAGTTCCTGAGAACTTTTAAATTAGCCAATACCTCTCCTCTCTTATATCCTCTCGGAGCTTTCGGTGCGGGTGTGCCAAACAAAAACTAGGAGACTTCTCGAGGCCGCGCGTTCGATAACTGCGAGTTATAGGTTGCTCCACGCATCAATATATAGACGAGGACCAGTAAATACGAGTTATATAACGGATTGGAATATGCGGCGGGAACGATCAAAGTGATTGAAAAATTAAAAACGAGATTACACGGCTTACCCGTGGGGTCCATATTCTCTCGAGAATAAAATGAAGTGTGCGCGAAAGTAAACACAGTTATAGAGTTCGTTCATGCGTCCTCTCACTACGAAATTATTTTTCAACTTTTCGCCTATTATCATTTTAAAACGTTCAATCAATATGCTTTATTTCCTACAAATAGGGAGAAGAATTATTAATGGCGTTTCAGCCGCGTTTTATCTCGTAAAATGATATCTATTAATAAAGGCCAAAGAGAAAGAGAGGCATGAGTAAAAAGATTGATGCGTGAGAATATTAAATTTTTATATCAAATTCACATCAAATCTCTTAAACAAGAGATACACATGTGCTGATTATAATTACCTTCTGACGATGCTAAGATATTAATGGTTACTCTAGTGCGTACTATGCATCAGATTAAACTCCTTTAGTTTTACCTTAAATATATAGGTATCGGGAGCAAAAGTGCTGATTTCACAGAGATATTGGTATCCTTATCGTGATATTAGCTTTATCTTTGCAAGCTATACCGCGCCAATATTTGTGCTTGGCTGGGGTTATGGAATATGAACCGATGCGACGAACGAGGTGCTCAAGAGAAAACCATGTAACGAGAGTAACCGTGGCTTATGCCGGATACGAACGGAGGTAATTCCTCTTACGGGAAATAGTGTCAGGGCTCTGCGCAATCTCGCTTCGTTTCATACCTATTAAAAATATGTTTTCTCCTCTCTCTTTCTCCCTCTCTTAGAAATGGATTTTCACAGATAATCATATAAATTGCTATAAGAATTTAATTTTATATCAAAAATCTAAAAAAAACTCACAAACATATAAAAATTATTAAATGTGTTAATAATAATTTCACTAATTAATAACGAGACATACGTAGCATTTTTTATGTAACTTTTCATATTTAAAAGAGGTAATTTATGTCGGACAACATAATTTTCTTGAATATTTGTTTGATTCCATAATCCTTTAAAGCGATTTGCATAGTAAATTATGTAATAACATTTGGTTAGAAATAAAAACCGCGAAAAGAAAATAGTGAAAATTCAGAGTTATGAGTCCTTGAACCAAAATCCTTTTTTTTTACTTGAGTAAACACTGGCTATATTTTTAGCTAAACCAGCAGTATAAAAAAAATCATTTCAAGTACATCGTTTCTCATATGCACTTTTAGCAAATCACGGGAATTCGTGTAGAAGCAGTATTGGTAAAGTGATAGCCATGAAAGGTTCGAATTTTCCAAACCGTGAAAAATGGATTTTATTTTTTTATGAAAACCGTTATATACAATGTTTCCCATTAATCCATTCAATACCACTGGACCACATATGTCCCAAGAAATATTTGAAAAATTCCATTGGAATTACAAATTCTATCAAGTATAAAAAAAATTCAATAAACAAAGATTTGTTTTATCGCGAATCGTATACATATCTCAATTTCAAAAAAACAATCTCAATTTAATTTGTTTGATTGCACAATAAATCTCTCTCTGGAATGTACTTCAGATTTAATACCGACACTTGATTATTTTTTTAGTAGTATCTATAATTTTTTATTTTGCATAGAATGAAATATCGCGTAGCAAACTTTTGATCTACACCGCGGTGTTACAGTCAGACAAAAATCACCGGAAAAATGGATGAGTACAATTCCTCGAGTCTCAGGAAAAATATGCCAGCCAAATGTCATTGTTTCATTGTTATTCACCGTAGCGTGCGGCGTCGGAAACGCAATTTAATCAGGTTCAATGCAACATCGACGCGACAGTTAAAATTGCAACCTGATCTTCAGCTGGAAAACACGGCGCACATACCTCCGACGTGGAAACGGCCTTTCCCCTAGATTAGTTCCATATCATTGTTATTCACGATGTCCGCCAATCCTGATTGCGTTTTAATCGTCTCGTTGCTTCTGAATCTCATCGTTCTCGCCCTCTGTCCCGTTTCTCTTTCTTACACGCCGCCGTCTAGCAAACGCCATACTGTCGTCTCTCGAAATTAATTCCATCGTGTTTATTAGATCTTATCTGAATCGCGACGGAAAATGTAATAAATTTGGAAAAGAAAAGAACTTTCTTTTTTAACTTCGTTTGTTACATTTACAAATGCTTCTCATAGCTAGCCGTAATCTTTATAATCTTGATTAACTTCCATATCAAATCTTAAAGAATTAATCCATTAACAAATCTTGTCCAAATATCAATATACTCGATCGTAATCAAATGACAATAATAAATTTAGAAATGAAATATCGCTAAACATTTTTAGGGAAAAGAAAAATTTCAAACGCAAGGCAGTTTTGCATGGCAATTTATTTTTTGATCGATTTCAAATGACGAGTTTCCTTCTTCCGCGCAAAAGTTTTACTGTCGAGAATTTAGACCCACAATATAGCTTCCGTCCGAAAAGCCGCAGTTCTTCATTCGCACAAAAAATACAACTGTTCAAAACTGTCTTGCATTCGAAACTACCTCCAAAGTTTCCCGTAAATTTATAGCAACACTTGGAGATGTTTTCGTACAAACGAGTATTTTATTACAAGAGCATGACGTACAAGCAGGGCGGACTGCATTTTCCGCAAGTATCTGTTTACGCGTTTTGTTCTACGCTGCGTAATAATAGCGTAGTTGCACGTGCGAGAGAGTCTTCAGTCTCATCGCCGCTAATTATACAAATCGCGCAATCTCGCCGCTTAAGGAAATTCCCGGAAGACGAAAAAAAAATGGTGAAAAAAGAGAAAAGGGGAAAGAGAGAGGAAAAAGGAACGAACAGCCCGTTCATCCGTGGACTGCTGTACGCTTAATTCGACGGTGAGCATTTTTCAGAGAGCAGACGGCGCGTTATAACGACGCGGCGGTCCCACTTAATTCGTAAGCTCAGCCGCTCGTTTGCATGAGTACTTAGGGACGAGCGAGAGGGTCGGTCGTCGACCGTGATAGTTGAACGGAATAACAGTGATGGTTGCGGGGGTAAGATCTCCGGCGCGCCCCTGGCGTTGACTTTAACCGCGCACGGACTATATTCGAACCCTAACTTCCGCAACCCTTTCCCTTCCTCCTCTAATACGACACCGGGAGCAACGCAAGACGATGCGACGTGCACCCTCATCCTCGCCTCACGAATCCGACGACAACCGGTGCTATCTGCGCTGCACGGAGAGCGACGAGACGGAAGGAGGACACTAAAGTGCGGATTTTAATCCGCGGATACCGGACGATATCTTCTGGGATTAAGACCAGGTCCGCAAGCCCGAGTCGGCATCTAACAAGTTTACCGTCGGTTCGAACTCTGCTTAAAGCAAATACCTACTACGTCGGGGACTCGGTGAATCCTCTTGGCAGACTCAGCTCCTTTACCCCGCACATCCCATGTTTCATCATGATTTAGAAGACTTCATGTTCGATTAAAGCTGATCTTGATACTCTTTTCGCGTAGTATTTTTGCGGCGATTTTAATAGCAGATGTCTTTTCTCGTGAACAGTATTAGATATCAAAGAAGCAATGGTAACCCAATCGATTCTTTGAGTTAAATAACTTTTATTGGTTTAACACGTGTCAAAATGTAAATCAATCCATTTTTATATTTATAATTAACTTTAAAGTAAATTAACGTATTTCATTTAATAAATAATGAACTAAATTTGAGTTAAATTTAACACACTTTGTTGAGGAACAGTGGCAACCTATAGAAATAATTAAAAATAACTCAAATTAAATATAATTCTTTATGAGAAAAAAAAAAGATTTGTTAGAGTAACTAAAAACTTCGTTGATTCAAACATAAATAGCCATATATGTGAACAATCAGTGTTTTTTATATTAAATTAGTAAAGTTGTATAGAAAATTATATGTGTAAGCAAATTTCTTAATACAGCAAAGATACTTTATACGAAGATCAATCCAATCAAAATTTTTAACAAAACAAATTAATTAAGATAATGCATATACTTTTGCTATTGTAATGAAGAAAATATGTTATATTAGCAACTTTCATTGAAGCAAAGAATTAGCTGAATTAGCATACCGATAATTGCTTACAAGCATAATTTCTTTGTTAAAAACCATCATATTTTTTTAGTTACAAATATTGAACTCGCGCAGCAAAGCTACAGCTTTGCTGAATCATCCAATCTATTTTCTTTCTGTGTTGACATTATGAATTTAACAGTGCAAGGGAGATAGAAAACCACGTTTAATAATAATGAAGACGTTCCACGGAGTTCGTAATCACAGATCGACTTAAAAGTTTGAAAAAGCGCGCGCTGAA